AAGTTTATTAATACGATTTAATTTTTTGGTAGTTTTCCTCATAATTTATTAAAGATTCAGCTAACAAACATATTTCTCTTTAAATTTCACTCCCCTAACCGAATTTTCTGGCTCCGTCCCTCAGTGAAAACCTTGCATAATGAAAAGGTTTACACTCAAACATGGGAATATGAAGACCACACCAAAGAAAGATCAACAAAAGAGGCAACAGCTCCCTAAAACAAAGTTAAATAAACCGAGGCCAACCACTAAGTCCACATAGTAGTAAAACACAAACACAAAATGCATGAAAATGAATGAGTGGACATTTCCAAGACCATGAACAACAATTTGCAAACCAAAAAAGGATGTCTTATCTCCTCCCTACAAGTAAAAAAGCAAGCAACCATAAAAATACAAGACACAAGAAATCACCAGCAGCATTTCAAAACTGAAGCAGTACTAACATAAATGCATTTCAGTATCGGCAGGACGAGACGGCCTGTGACACGTAATTGCTTGCACGTGAAACGGGTGCTGTCAAAAGAATCCTTGTCATCATTCATGGGTGGCATCGTAATCAACCTCCACATTATCACCTCTACTGACTCATCACTGTTGTTGACTCATTAACCTTTACCAGCACAGCTCTAACAGAGTGCATGTTGAAAAGAAAGTGCAGTAAATAAAAGTGGAAGGTGAATTAAATTTAATGAAGGATGGTAAAATATGTTAGGCTAAAATTAACCGAATAGGAAAAAAAAGTACAGAAAAAGGGTAGATTTACCAAATAAGAAAAGTATTAACACGTGGTAACAAAAGAGTATATTAAGAAATGCTTCTAAAAGTAATACATAACATACTTACCTTGAATAGTTTTTGGTTTAATATATATAAATAGATGGTGGGTGCGTAAGGGTCAAATGAGACTTTTTATCTAAGCTTTGAAGTTAAAACGACAGCAAATTGAAGAAGCCTTTGTTTTAATTTACTGAAATCAACTATTAATTATTAATTTTAATTAAATGGGTTAAATGTTTTAAATTATAAGTATCAACAATTATTAATCATTAGCTATAAA